TATAAAGATTTAAAAATAAAGTTGTGTCGTGGTTTTCTTTAGTTATCGGACAAAACGCGACTCACCAGCTGGCGACCAGTTCTGAAAATTTAGTCGCCAGTGCTCAATTTTTGGTCGCATTGGCGACCAGTGAGTCGCAATTTCGAGCCCTGGGAGGCAAGAGAAAGTAAAAGCTGCAGGGGAAAACTTGGTGAAGAAAAGTAGGAGAGAACGCGATGAGCCCCTAGGGACAGAGTCTTACCAAGCCAGTTATAGGTGTACATAGTTACATGTTATACACTATCAAGTAGATTGTTGATATGCTGTTAGCGGTTGCCTGATGTGGCCGTGAGATGGTGCAAGATTTCACGTGTAGCTTAACACAGACTGAGAGTCACCTGTTTGTAAGGTTACTTGAAGGGTACCCACTATTCATTAGAATGACACGACCTATTGTAAGAAACACTACAAATTTAAATACCTTCTCTGGCTCAGCAGGTTTTTCTTGTTCTTCATTTGTTTCATCTTTACTGACATCCTCTTCATAGACACGCTAAAAAAGTAATTAGAAAACAAACGTAAGAAAATACATGCACTGATTGGTAAAAAATCGTGCTTCTATAACTCCACAGAAACACAGAACTAGCACAAGCTGTTGACGTAATGATGGTGCAAGCAAAGAGAATTTACATTTTGATAATCACAGTTAACAAGTTGTTTTCCTTTTCTTCATTGCGGTGTTTTCTAAAAGAAATAGAAAACATGTTCTCCGTGTTTCTATTGAGTTATAGAAACACTCGTGAAAGTTTGGGAGAACTCGAAAAAGCTGTGCAAACACTCGCCTGTGGCTTGTGTTCCCACAGCATTTCTCATTATCCCAAACTTCCACTCGGGTTTCTATAACTCGATAGAAACATAGTACATGTTTTCTATTTCTTAAATAAAGAATTCACTATACAAACACTCATTCCAGTTGTGACATTTAACTATCAAATGCTCGCTGATTACAAGATTACACACATTTTACAGATTATAATGTAAAAAATATAATTGCAGCCGTGGTTATGGAGAGACTACACTTACATTTTCAATAAACTGAGCATTGGACAACATCAAGAAGTTGTTCATTGTATTTTGAACCTTAGAATCCATTCCCTGGGAAAAACGAGACAAAAACATTTTAAATAATAACAACAGACATAATATTTTAAAATTACAGGTCTCCTGATGACAATGGTGAAATTAAGGTTACTACTCTTAGGAATTAAGGCCATTCCCCAGCATTGCATTGCACATCCCTACTGCGCATAATTTCACGCGTAATTAGCACACGCATATTATAAAATGGCGGCTTTTTCTTTACAGCTGGACCTCGCCATGGAGGTAAATCGTCATTTTCTCGCAAACGAGTATGGTGACCTATCATTTTTTTCTGTTGTCTTGAACTGAGTAATAAATTTCTCTGTGTAAAATAAATATGGACCAATTCTCTGTGTAGAACAAAAAGCAATTGTCGGAAACATGAATTTAGCAAGCAATTGTAACTACAATCATGGTGCTATTGTAAGGATTTTTATGGGTATAAACAAGGTGCTTTTGCTCCTAAACAAACATGGGGACCCCTCATTTTTATTTCAAAATTTAAGTTCCTATAATATAAACAATCGATAGGCAAAGTTTCACAAAAATCTCAGTGCAGGTTTTATTTCAGCGGAATGACCTTAATTAACAAATGGTTTGTCATATCAGTGTTGGAAACTAAATTTTGACAGCACTGGGCATTCTGGCAAGTGACTCTCAAAATGCATTCCCCTGGTATAATTTTCACTCACCCAGAACATGGTCGGAAGAGAGGACTCTACCAACTATGGCCAGGAAGATGCGTCCCCCTCCACAAAAGAAAATCAGCAAAAATATCTCTTACTAACAGACACCCGGTCTGCCATTTTGTGTTGAGCTTTCTTGTTCCGGTCCGATTTTACTGTCTTATTCTTGTTTTTATCATCAACTTTTGACACTCCTTCCATGGAAATATTTCTAAATTTCTGTAGTTTTAACTGAAAACAGCTAACTACTGAATTCGCATAGGCCATCCCCCTTTTTTTTTCATTTATTGTCAAATGCATTTTCTGATTTTGGGTCGGTCGGTCAGAAAAGAAAAAAAAAGAACAAAAATAAAATTGGAAAAGGAGTCTAGAGCTAGGAGGCCCGGTACCTCAGCATAATATCCTTGGAGCCTGGAAACAACGAGGTGTGGTTACAAAGTCAACATCGCGGCAATGGAAGAAGGAAAAAGTCGACATCGTTGTTAAAATCAAACAAGAACAGGGAAAAACTAAAAATCTGTAAGGCAAAAAATTCCTTATCTTTCAGATTAAAGTGACAATTGGTCAGACGACGCTAAACAGAGAAAAATAAAAGGGATGGCCATACATCCCTACAGTCAAGACAATGGATTAAACAATTTGTCGGCACATCTCAATTCTCATGCACTAATTATTGCCTACTCAACTAAAGACCAGCAATATCACTTCATACATGTGTAACTGTTGTGTAAATTATCACTGCAAGGAAGCCAATTTCATTTTGTGTGAAATACAAAGGAGTGTATATTTAAGCTTAAATAATTTCCCAAGACTTGATCAAAACCAAATGGGCCAGAGATCAATGATTTGCACTTGCCCAACACTTTTTACACTCCCATTAGTGAGTGGGCAAGCACTAATTTCAAACACCGTAATATTATTGAAGCTATAGTTACTATTATTGCAAGCTACAATCTAACATAAGACAAGACAAGACATGAGACAAGCCAACATCTCATGCAAATACACTTTAAAAAATCTCCATGCTCAGAAGAGGGATGAAGCATTTTTATCCCTCCCTATCTGATCAATGTTATTTCAGAGCTTCACCTTTTCATCTTTTATACACCTGAATAACACTGAAATGGCGAGAGGTCATTGGATGAAAAAGCTACTGGTACTTTCTATAATCAAATTACTAATATTGGTAAAAATATTTAGTATGTACAGTGTATCTTCAAAGATTTGACCAAGATCTGAACTATTTGAACTGATCACAGCTTTCCAATGAATGAAGCAAAATACAGTCTATTGGGGCAGTGTGCCAATAAACATGAAAGTGTAAATTGAAAATTATCTAAGATACCGTAAATCAAATCTAAATACTTCATGCGGTGAGCATTTTCCATTGACGTACCTTGGTACTGCTGACCAATCCATCTACCTGAGTTTCAATTTCATGAGTTTGTGAAATCATCTTCTGAGAGAATTCTTGCAAGTAAAGAAGAAGCTAGAAAAATAACAAGTAAAACAACTTAATTTAATTAAGTGCTTCTCACTTAAAATCCTCCCTTTTAGGTTTAGACAACACAAATATTGTATGGCAGTCTAAGGCAGTTTGTAACTGATTGACATAATTTGTTCACAGTATTTCCTTATGCAAAATCCAGATTGTCACCTGAATTGTGTTAATATTCCTAAATTCGACCCTACAACATTGGCAAGGAGGCTTACATGTAAAACTATATTTTGCTAATTGATCCAATGCACTTTTCTCTTCTGCAGAAAGTATATAGTGTATGAGCAGATAAGCATCAATAAGGCTACTAAATACAACTAATTTTTGTTTTTGGGAACCACACATCAACAGTTGTTTGTTTTGTTTCCTCTCAAATCTAGGGCAACAACCCTCTCATCAAATAAGAGCAGTGTTCCTGCATTGTTGTGAAGGTTGCTAGAAATATTTTCAGCTGCTTATAATCACAGTATCCATGAAATCTCTGAATGAAACACCACTATAAAAAGCTTATTTCAGTCTTACTAGCATAATAACTACCTCTTGAATGCTTATGTCCAATTATTTTACAAGGAGTCAAAACATTTCCTCCTGCTCAGGCAATGTGATATGCTACATTTGCTACCATACAATACTTATTTCCTCATCATTGAAGACAATAAGCCCTGATTGGTCTAAATCCTCAACAGTGAATATGCATGGGAAAATTATTTTTACAACTGGTGAGCATAATTTATAAGCTTAATTAAATAATGAAGTTCATATTTGACAATAAAACATATTAAATACTATATAATTTTCATATTTTTAGGATTTTTAAACTAGAAAGTGTCTGAACATGGCATCAAAAATTATGATTTCCTATTTTAGATTTCGACCAGTTACTTCTTAATAAGTAAATCTGGCTCTTACAGTGGGCAAATAGATAGCTAATCAGGTGCAATTATACAATGTGTAAGTTAAATGTCACCTTCACGTAATGAGGTGCCTAAATGTAACAGCCAAGCTATTTAAATTTACAAAAAGGGACATAAACACAACCTCCTGAAAATGTGTTTAAATCCCGAAACACGTCGAAACCGTTAGCACACAAACTGTAAAATATGATCTCCTCACCCCGGCATCGCCTGCAAGTGTCCAATTTGACGATCCTTTTCTTAGTTCCGCTACACTCCATGATCTCTCCCACACTTTCTCCTCGCTGGGAGCAGCTGTGCTGGGCTGAGATACCGTTGGTGTACCTGGAGGTTGTTGAGCAGTTGACGAAGGCTCAATCGGAGGTGCTGGAGGGGGAGGAGGTGGAGGGATACCTCCATCTAATGGAGGTGGAGGCGGAGGTGGCGGTGGTGGTGGCGGCGGCGGAGGCGCCATCTTGAATTTCCTGATGTGTTGTTCTCTCTGGGCACGTGACTTTAAGCCTCGATCGTGTGTTACGAAGATGATGGGACGGGGTAAAAATAACACGCGACGAAACAAATCAAACTGATATTCCTTGCATGTACAACTAATACTAGCCCAAAAATTTCGGCAAAGTGTTGACAACTCTAAAGTTCCCAGCCAAATATTAACATCAGTAAAGTAGGGATGTGCTTTTGGACTCCAATATACTGGGATCACCCAGAATAACACTATTTATTCTCCCCGGGTTATTCTGTATCTCTCGGTTTTAGCAATAATTATAAACCACACGTACAAAATGATATCGATAAATGAAAGAAGCACTGAAGTATTGAAGGTAAAAAGCGTTTCCTGCGTTTGTTGTTCGAGAATATTCGGCTTGCATCGATTGGCGCCTGAAAGATTTCAAGTCTATTTCAGTAGGGGGGCCTTATCCCCACCCCCCCCCCCTCCTCCAAGTGGGTGATCCTTGTCCTGTTGACCTATTTAAAGAAATTTGCTGCTCGTAACTATAGTACAGGAAATTAAATTTACCGCAAATATCAGCTGTTTCCCAAAATTTATTTTTTAATAGTCTGAACTGTTTTGTTACTGATTGATACACCATTTACACACCGTCACGTTAAAACTGTGTGTCCGGACTCGAGGGAGGATGGAGCGGAAATCGAGCCTGGTATTGCGGTGGACTTTGAATTTCATTTCATGAGTTTTCCGGTTCACGGTTTTCAAATTTGTGACTTTCAGTTTTGGTATCTCTGACAGTTTTCGTTTTCTCCGTAATATTTTAATGTTCCCTCTTATAAAGGTTTAACTGTACTCGATTGCCGAAAAAGAAGATATTGGAGTCTCAAAATTGGTGAGCTGAACGAATTTTCGAATGATTCAAGCCGTGATTAAAAGTTTTAGACGATCAACAGACAAGAGAATTAAGAAGAATCCGAACGACGCGTTTCGCTATTTTTATACGGTATTGAAAATAACTACACATCAATACGGGCATGGCGAAATAATATGAATAAATAGTTAATAAATAAAAGAAAAAAGACATTACACAAGGCTGGGAGTTCTGCAGTCTTTAATATCGCCTTGGAAAGAGAAGGAAAATGGAAAAAAAAAACAACAACAACAAGAAGTTATTACAACATGGGGTATTCGTATTTGGTCACCCATCCAAGAATGAACCCCGGCCCGCCGACAGGTCTTAACTTTGTTGAATTTTTGTTCGTTAAATCTTTCACGCGAGAGTAGTTTCTGACAAAACAAAATGAGACGGTAGAAACCAAATGGCGCTAAAATGTATGAAAAATTTTTTTTTTTTTTTTATTGCCACACACTTAAAATATTTACAATATATATACGTACATTAATTACAATTCTAAATCAACTACTTACTCTACTTACAGTACTAAATTTACTTACGCTTCATTACAATACTTGTCTAATGCCTATCTATCTACCTATGTATGAGAAATCTGAGGAAACTTGGAATATGGCTGTGTAGTTGGATTCTCATCGGCGATCTATTCGTGGAAAATAATGAGACGGTCCAAAAGCTAAAGGAAACCTTAACAACAGCCATGTACAGCTTCTATTTTGACGGAAAAGACGGCTTTATAATCTTATAAGTTTCTTCCTCCTTTGTTTAACTAATCAAGTTAGATTCTTTTCAATGCCTTCATTTTGGTATTGTAAAAATACGGACAAGGGCGGAGAGGAGGATTACTATATTCAGTACTATATCTAGTCAGTATAATTGATCGACTTTGCAGTAATCCTTCAGACGAAAAAATGATCGAACAGCAGTTTCGATGTTTCCTGAAAGATAAACTTAAGAACTGATTTCAATTTTATGACTGGTTAATATAGAAACGAAGAATCTAGCTTGGGCTCAGTTTTCAAGAGGCTTTACTCAAAATGGCACGTTTGACCCAAATGATTAATTGCTAGCAAATCAAAAACTGTTTATTTTTTAATTTAGTAAATATTGCGTACCAAGATGTCGGAACACTGCCGCGCGCAGCAGCAGCTGAATCATCTGAAGAGCGTGCTATTGACATGGCTTCTTCTGCAACTGGGTTCATGTGCCTCATGGATTCACCGCGTTCAATACCTTTGACCATTTCCGCGTAGCTGGCGAAAGACGGCAATACAGAGTTAAAAACTCTACCAAGTCACGAGGGTTTTATTGAGTGTTTTATTTCTTTCTAAGGTCTTTTGAGGTTGGGGGTGGAGAGGGAATGGTTATTTTATGTCATAAGTCAGCTACGGAAGATATAAAAGAAGTAGAGAGGAATAATTAATGTTGTATTGTTCAGTACCATATGGCTGGCGTTCGTAACCAATAGAGCGGTTTCAGTTTAGTTGAGTGTGGAAAGTAATCAGGCAATTACTTCGGTTTTGGTTTGGTTTTAGTACGGTTTGAAATTGGTTGAGTAGTCTAATTGGTAAGTAATTTGCTTGGTATTATTATTAATGCTTTAATTATAGAGAGAGCGAAAGATAATTCGTAACCATTTCGTTATCTTTTCAAAACTGTAACAGTAAAAATGCCGTAAAAAATAACGCTTTCCGCTTCTGCTAACAGGCCGGAGGACCGCAAAATTCCAAACCTTCCAAAGTTCGTTAACACTTTGCAGGTTTTTTTTTTTTGTCGAGAAAGAAAACCTTACACCTCGAATACAATCACCATAATTACAACATAGCACATACCGTATAAAATGATCATGCAACATTGCACCTTCACAAAGGTAGCTGCATAATTATGCAAAGTTTCATTTGGTCTGAAAAAAGATAAAACGAAAAGTAAACGAACAACTTTAAGCCAACGATAACGTTCAAATCGAAAGAAATGACAGTCGTAATGAGTTTGCCCATAAACCTCCACCATCTCTAAAACCGTTCACAGCTGTGATTTGGAGGCCATTTAATTAAACTATTTACCTAAGCAGCAATAGTTCAAACAAGTGAAAGCGATACCTCAATAATAAATGAAGTACGCTTGTGTCTACAAAGAAGAGAAACGAAACCAACTCGTATTTAATACGAGTTGGATAATAAGAATATTTATTTCGGCGCAATGTAAATGTCGCCTTTTGTGCCTTCCTCGTCCCTTCCTTGAGTGGGTAGGATTGCCGTGGCTTTGCAATAACATTACAGACTGCGGAATATTCAGGAAGTTAGAAACTTCTGTTTTCCGTCGACTTCTCTGTGGGAAGATGTTGCAGATTTGCAGCTGTAAAAATTAGACTTAACTTTCTATTCAAAAACCGTTATCTTTTCTACTTTTGTGCTTCAGCTAACCAGTGTATTTCCCTCACTGTAAAAAGGCCTGTGATGCTGGACCTTCTGCGAGGTATCGTCAATAAACTCAGGCATGATATGCAAACTCTTGCCCAAATTCAGTGGTTATGTACACGAACACCAACCTTACCACTGATTAAAACTACGAAGGATAATATCAATAACTCAAGGTTGCAGTGATAAATTTATAAATTTTATACTAAGAGCACGCTTCGTTTTCGTACTGGAGACTTTCGTAATGTAACAAAGTTTAAAAGTTGAACCTCAAATTTGTTCAAATTTGGTCTTTTTATTTTAAAAACTAATATAAAGAAGGAACATTGTGCGCCCAAATGCTATTATATTTCATTAATGCGGTCTCGAAATCTCAATTCAGTGCGAATGTCATTTTTAAACAAAAGGTTAAAACTGTTCAAATTTCTTTATTTTCTCAGGGGCAAAGAAGCAGTAGCCCAGGGGTAGTACCACTAATCGGTAGATCAGGTAAGTTAAGACCTGTTGGGAAAGGTCAGTAAGTTGATGGGTGATTGGCACTACAGATGTCATCTTCTCCCGAGTAAAGAGTAAAGAGTAAAGAGTAAAGAGTAAAGAGTAAAGAGTAAAGAGTAAAGAGTAAAGAGTAAAGAGTAAAGAGTAAAGAGTAAAGAGTAAAGAGTAAAGAGTAAAGAGTAAAGAGTAAAGAGTAAAGAGTAAAGAGTAAAGAGTAAAGAGTAAAGAGTAAAGAGTAAAGAGTAAAGAGTAAAGAGTAAAGAGTAAAGAGTAAAGAGTAAAGAGTAAAGAGTAAAGAGTAAAGAGTAAAGAGTAAAGAGTAAAGAGTAAAGAGTAAAGAGTAAAGAGTAAAGAGTAAAGAGTAAAGAGTAAAGAGTAAAGAGTAAAGAGTAAAGAGTAAAGAGTAAAGAGTAAAGAGTAAAGAGTAAAGAGTAAAGAGTAAAGAGTAAAGAGTAAAGAGTAAAGAGTAAAGAGTAAAGAGTAAAGAGTAAAGAGTAAAGAGTAAAGAGTAAAGAGTAAAGAGTAAAGAGTAAAGAGTAAAGAGTAAAGAGTAAAGAGTAAAGAGTAAAGAGTAAAGAGTAAAGAGTAAAGAGTAAAGAGTAAAGAGTAAAGAGTAAAGAGTAAAGAGTAAAGAGTAAAGAGTAAAGAGTAAAGAGTAAAGAGTAAAGAGTAAAGAGTAAAGAGTAAAGAGTAAAGAGTAAAGAGTAAAGAGTAAAGAGTAAAGAGTAAAGAGTAAAGAGTAAAGAGTAAAGAGTAAAGAGTAAAGAGTAAAGAGTAAAGAGTAAAGAGTAAAGAGTAAAGAGTAAAGAGTAAAGAGTAAAGAGTAAAGAGTAAAGAGTAAAGAGTAAAGAGTAAAGAGTAAAGAGTAAAGAGTAAAGAGTAAAGAGTAAAGAGTAAAGAGTAAAGAGTAAAGAGTAAAGAGTAAAGAGTAAAGAGTAAAGAGTAAAGAGTAAAGAGTAAAGAGTAAAGAGTAAAGAGTAAAGAGTAAAGAGTAAAGAGTAAAGAGTAAAGAGTAAAGAGTAAAGAGTAAAGAGTAAAGAGTAAAGAGTAAAGAGTAAAGAGTAAAGAGTAAAGAGTAAAGAGTAAAGAGTAAAGAGTAAAGAGTAAAGAGTAAAGAGTAAAGAGTAAAGAGTAAAGAGTAAAGAGTAAAGAGTAAAGAGTAAAGAGTAAAGAGTAAAGAGTAAAGAGTAAAGAGTAAAGAGTAAAGAGTAAAGAGTAAAGAGTAAAGAGTAAAGAGTAAAGAGTAAAGAGTAAAGAGTAAAGAGTAAAGAGTAAAGAGTAAAGAGTAAAGAGTAAAGAGTAAAGAGTAAAGAGTAAAGAGTAAAGAGTAAAGAGTAAAGAGTAAAGAGTAAAGAGTAAAGAGTAAAGAGTAAAGAGTAAAGAGTAAAGAGTAAAGAGTAAAGAGTAAAGAGTAAAGAGTAAAGAGTAAAGAGTAAAGAGTAAAGAGTAAAGAGTAAAGAGTAAAGAGTAAAGAGTAAAGAGTAAAGAGTAAAGAGTAAAGAGTAAAGAGTAAAGAGTAAAGAGTAAAGAGTAAAGAGTAAAGAGTAAAGAGTAAAGAGTAAAGAGTAAAGAGTAAAGAGTAAAGAGTAAAGAGTAAAGAGTAAAGAGTAAAGAGTAAAGAGTAAAGA